TATATATATATAATGAATAAAGTAAGCAATTCCTATAGAGATAGACTAGAGAAAGATATGGGATAATGATATATAAATTTTTATGTATCAAGAACAATTTTGGAAGAAAGATGTATGACAAAGTGGAAAAACTTTTGTGTGATGCATTTCGTCTCTGAGGACCTCATCGAACTAGGTTGGTTTATGCTGATGTGACTACACATGTGCATGAACAAGACACTAGGAATTTCAAATTTAGAAAAAAAAATTTTCTTTTAATATGTTTTTTATTAACTACCTTTACTCTTCTTCTTTTACATACTGTATCCCTTCAGGACATAGGTAATCATGGCTCTCCACTCCCTTGTTGCTCTTAATAAGTTTTGCCTTTTCACCAATCCTCCAAACCCTGTTCCACCATTCATTTGCTCAAGTTCATCAAGTATGTTACGCACTGCTTTCCTTAGGTTATCTATCTGTCCTGTGAGTATCAAATTTTCCAAGCCCTACTTCCTCATTACATGCCAAAGAAATTTCAACTGCATCTTCCTGATGTTAAATATAAGTTTCCTCTTCATTTCCATTGTCTCCAAAAGTTTGTTGTTGGTCACATGTTCACTCCATGGTATTCTCAGCATCTTTCTGTAGAACCACATTTTTGTTGCTTCAAGTCTCATCTTTGATGAGATTGTCCAGCATAAGCTGCCATACAGGAGGACAGATGTCATGTAACATTTTTGTACTCTTTTCTTTGTTCCTAACAATGCTTTTCTGTCTCTTAATATTCTGCTTAGCTTTTGGAAGGCATCTTTGGCCATTCCAATACATCTTTGGATCTCAGTGTCATATTTTCCGTCCTCTGTTGGAACACTTCTCAGATATTTAAATTTCTGTACCTGCTTGATTTTGGTATACCCGACCTGTAATTTACATTTTGGACTCACGCTTTTGCTGATAACCATGCATTTTGTCTTTTTTTAGTTTATACTTAGTCCTTTCATCTTACTTTCCTTGGCTACCTTCTGTATGAGCTTTTTATAGTTTCCTTTACGTGTTTGATATCAGCACTGTCTCATCTACAGATCTGATATTGTTAAGATTGTAGCCACCAATAATAAATCCTGGCTGGGTTTAAATTTCTTTCCCAGTCAAGATCCAACTCTATCACAATGGCAGTAGATGAAGTCTCTTCCCTCCTATAGTTTTTTGCTTTTTAAACATCATTATATACTGCAACCGAACAATTAACATCACATTAATAAGTACAGATGTGTATGTATGTATATATATATATGTGTGTGTGTGTGTGTGTGTGGTTCTGCACAAAACTTTCACCATAATAATCAAATCACATGCTGGTGTCGGGCCTTCAGTTCCTAGGAATTGATCTGCTTAACCCTCATATGTCAAATTCAACGGGAGAGTGGAATATATATATTTGACTCTCCCATCATATTTGACATATATATAAGCTAGTGTGTGTGCATACATTATATTTAAAGACAATTTGATGTGCGTAGTCCTTTACTTTCCATACAAGGAATTATTTTTATTTCATGGCTGTCTTTTGCTGGATTTCACTATTAAATTATTCCCAAATTTATTTCCAAGTTATAAAAATTATCATCATGCTAGAAAATTTGTTACAAAAAAATTCACAGTAATAAAAACTTGGGAATCCAAAATTTCGGGATTGTGGATCCAGCCCCAAATGTTTTTAATTTGCTCATAGAGTTGGCCTGAATCCAAAATGGCATATGTTGAGCTGCGGCCTGTAGGAGTAAAGTTGGAAAATTGTGACACAGTGACATTTGCATATATATATATATATATATATATATATATATGTTTGTTTGCTGAAGCAAAGCAAAGGAGACAAATTTGTAAAGAAATCTCAACACATGAAAATGAATAAATTTTCATTGTTCTTGAAAATTGAAAACAAAAATATTAAACCCTATTTATTTATTTATTAGATTATTTGCAAGAATAATTTTATATTTACAACATTCTAAAAACTAATATAAATAGAACTAGGGTAATATTTATCATTTAAAAATAAATAATTTATAAAGAAATAAATATGAAAACAATTTTTTATTCCTAAATTTATAAACATGTACTAGATTTACTAAAATATGTGAAACAACTATAAGTAAATACTTATTATTTACCATTTTATAAAGTTTGAATCAACTGGCAATTTGCCAATGTTTTGCCAACCATTCCAATAAACAAATGAATAGTGTTTATTATTATTATTGTTGTCACTTTCTCACTGCTGTAATGTAGCACCCTGTGTCTTTTCTATAAATACTTTCATGTCATAATATTATTACTGGTGTCATAGACAGCACTTTTATTTCAGCTAATTTGCACAAAAATCCTTCGGTTTTCTTAAGTTTTGGACCGTACAGGTGTCTTCTGTTTTATATTTACTTTTTATTTAAATAGTTAATTTTTTTTTACTTAATTAGTAATTAAATGCCAAAATAAATGTTTGTTTATGTCTTCAACTACCAACTATTTCATTTTTCTTATTTAGTAGTAGTTTTTTTATTTTTTACCTGGCTTCATATTAATTCTGGAAGGTTAGATTTATAACTATATTATATTTATTGTTAAGTATATATGTGCAGATACACACACAAACACACACATTAGTGCATATACATAATATCCAACGTCTGTAGCACAACTCGCATTCAGACCATTATGGAGTTTGCGTTCTTGTGGTGGTGATGATTCAAAATAGTGCGTTAAAACTTATTTAATTACTGTTGTGTAAAACATTAGAATTAGCTATTAATAATTTATATCGTTAAAATTAAGTTTTAAAGGTGAAGAATTAAAATCAAAAATTGTATTTTAAATTATTTAAATTAAAATATGGATTTAAAAGTAAACTATATCAAGAGGAATAACTCTCTCATACACACACACATATATATATATATATATATATATATATATATATATATATATATACACACATACATACAGGGTGTCCATAAAGTTCGTGTGCACTTTAAAAATTCATAACTTTATTTGTATTTTTGATAGAAATAATCTGTAAAAATGTTATAAAGTTTAATGTACCTAGTTTTAAGTATAGCTAAAATAACTAATGTGATTTCAGGCATTACTGTAAATCAGTTGGCAAATGTTTTCCGTGAACTGCAAATTCGTATTACCCTTTGTATTGCTAATGATGGAGGACATATGGAAACTTAAATAAAATTTCAATAAAACCTTAAAACAATATAGATTTACTTCTTTCTAATCCTTTTTTACAAATTATTTCTATTGCAAATACAAATAAAGTTCTAAAATTTTTAAAGTGCGCATGAACTTTATGGACACCCTATATATATATATATATATATATATATATATATATATATATATATTATATATAAATGAATAAATAAATGCTTAGTACAATTGGTAAATACTTCCTCTTTTGATTCATGTTTCATTAAAAATGATAGAGAAACAAGTGATTTCATTTTTGTGTGCAGAAATTGGTCAAATGATTCAACTTATCTATTAATTTTCTAAGATTTTGATTATGCTATTGTAAATGGTATGCAAATCAGATAGACATATTTTCAATTCCTGAATATGGAAGAGTACATTGTGGCCATGTTCATAGCTGATATGGTTGTTTTTATATAAAGACTTGCATTATTTTCAGATTTTTTTTTGTATCACATTTGCATTCTTGACAAGTATTTTATGTATTGAGGTTGGTATAGTTCCATGTTGGTTTGACTTGACCCTAATGGAGCTCTGGTCTGAGAAATGTAGGATGAGATTCTTTGATAACCAAGTGGTGGTATATCCAATATATTTATGAACTTATTTTCATCAGGAATGCAGTTCTCTACAAGGCATTCAAATTCATAAATATTGTTGGATTTTTATAATTTTGATTTTGCTGGGAATTTTTGTTGCTCATAAGGTAAGCTCTTTGGAATTTTTTCTAATAGATCAATTTCATAGTTTTACTTTGTTCAACTGAAGTGATGCAATTTTTTTTGTTCTTATATTTCTTAGGGCGTATTTGTCCTGTTTGTAAACTCCATGCAATCAGTTTTGATAAAATATATTAATATTTTTGCTATTATCTTTATGGCCTATGTTCTTATTACTTAACTTTGAAAGAAACAATTTGATTTGGTTGACTAGTGTTTGTTTTATGTTTACTGAATTCTTTAAAGATACACAAGGATAAAATCATGAACACTCTTGTTAAATTTTTTATTACAGTTCATTTATATCCGAGTGGACATTCGCTCTTATAATTGAGATGGCACAAATTTTTGCTTGAGGGTTTTTTTATATAATGAAGTAGAAGTGAATTTTTATTGGATTCTATGAGAATGCTGACAAATGGATATTTTTTTGGTTTAATGTAGTTTTAAAATCTTGATTTTCTTTTTATTACTGGCTAAAATGAAAATAGCATCTACATACAGGGCATAAGCATTATTTCAATGGGTACATGACTGAGTAGCAATCTCCATTTTTTTTTTTTATTAATAAATGTTGTAATTAATATCTATAGGCCTAAATTATTAAAATTCCCATTAAAGAAAATGTACCTTCCAGCAAGAATTGAACTAGCATTTCTTATCTAAGAAATCAACTTTGAGCTTGAGCCATAGTTCTACATGATCATCAGCATTTTAAATCGAAACCATCACCAACACACACACATATTTTTATATTGTAAATTCACTTTTGCTTGCTTTTTGCAGAATTTACAATGCCTTCAATTGTCTTAATCTTATACATAGTGCAAAAACCTCATCAGTTTCCATGCATAATAAAGTGTAATTGCATTATACACAGAAATAAGGAACATTTGTGCTTTTTTTATAATCAAAAATAAATGATTACATTATACATCAGATTCTAAATAGGGTTTTTCTTTTTCTTTAAAAGATAAAAAACCATAGCATTTTTTTCGCGCAATCCTACAAAGAAAATGAAAAGCCAGAATGATAACAAGAAGTTCATTGAATATCAAAGATTGTACAGAAGAAAAAAAATGTTTCAGATGAAAACATGAGTTTAGATAAAAAGAAGCAGACATAAATGAAATTGGGAGGGGGGAACATTTCCTCTCTTTTTTTCTTCACTATTCACGAAACAAAACATAATTGAAATTTTTTTAAAAAGATTTATTCCAAATTGTAAGGTTTCTTTCCATGCAATTTTAAATTTTAAAAATTATTTTAACTAAAAAAAAAAAAAAAAAAAAAAAAACTTGCCCGAAGTCTAACAAGACACTCTCAAGTAACACTGAAGCAACTGGCCCAGTAAAAAAAAAAAATTTGAAGTGAAAATGATCTAAAACTGTGTTTCCCAACGTGGGGGCCACTTGTAGGGCTCTATTATGTTGAAAAGGGAGGCAGTGGACATACTGAGAGGAACAGTGGGCATTTATCCATATTTTTCAAATTTTCAAAAATTATTCAATATTAGCTACAAAAATGGAGATTTTTGAAAAAGTATCTAAAAACTGTAGGAAGCTATCAAATTTTTTTTTTCATTGCTTTCCCAACTTTCTTTATGGCTGAATGTCGTTTCAACAGTTACAAAGCTTCTTACTAAACAAAGAAACTGCTTGCAAATTACTAAAGGAGGAGATCTATGATTTCTTCTAAGCAGCCTGGAACTTAGAATAAGAGCCTTAGTCAGTAAGCACCAAAGTCGACCACTGCATTGAAAAGGCTGAGATAAACTATCAAATAAAAGGGTTTTTTTTTTTTTTTAAATATTTTAATCATTGGCATTTATAATAGAAATAAAAACAACATTAAAAATTTTTGCACTAATGCCTAAGTGTTATCTTGCTATGACAACTGAATTCAGTATAATATTCAAAATTTAATTTGACACGGCGGGGCGTTAACAAAAAGGTTTGTGCTTGTTGAAAAAACGTTGGGAAATGCTGGTCTAAAATAACTTCCTTCCTATGTTGTATTCCATGTAGAAAGTTACTTCCCTTTATTTGAATTACTTCCCTTAGCCTTCAAGTCAGTTTGGATTGGCTTTGGGATTCTGTTGAAATATTGTCCAAATCTGCCATGACCTTACTAACCTAGTCAATCCTTGACATGGTAAGTAAATACTCATATCTGTATTGGTTCTATTGATGTAGGTGTGCGTTTCATTATAAAAGCTTTGGAAAAGAATCCTATCATCTAATTATGGCAGATTTTTTTAGAAATATATGGATGGACTGATTACATTGAGAACTTGGGTGAAGGCTGAAAAAGTAGCTGATTTGTAGAGAAGAAAAACGTTTGTTTTTTTTTTTTAGTTTTCCATAGATTTCTCCCGTGAAAAGTTACGTCCCTTGGTTACTTAAAATGGCCAACAAAATTTTGAAAAGCATCTAACAAGCAAAACAAACAATACTTTAATATTCATTTACTTTCAGCTGATATTTTCAAGTTTTGACAAGAAACTACAAAAAAGGAAAATAAAATTGAATTCTAATCTGTATTTGAGAAACAAGGAATCGTAACACATCCCAAGCAAATAACTCCAACTATAGTCAGGCACAATAATTTTTACCATCTTCAGGAAACCATCAATTTGGATACATACACTTCTTCAAGTGCGAATGCATTATCAGGTTTACCTAGATTCTTCTCTTTGGTACTATTTATGTATTATACTAAAAGGGAAAAGGGGGGTAGGTTAAGAGTATATTCTGACAACTATACCAATGCCCACAGGAACCAAGTACATTTTTTTTTCTGGAAGACATTAAAGATGCAAAAAAGTTATTGGTTATTTCTGGAAGGGATACGGATTCCCTTAACTCAATCTGTGACTTTCTGTTACATTTTGTTGGGAGAAGCAGACCTAATTTGTATCTTAAAGCCAAGCCCAGAAGTGAGTGACCACTGGTTATTACTATGTTTTTAAAACAAAAGGTGGAGATGAACCTGACAGACAACACTTGAAAACTTCCCAAGGTGTAAGGATCAGTGAAAGATACAGTAAACAGAGCATTGCAACAGTGTTACACACACACATATTATATATATATATATATATATATATACACACCCACACACATACACGTGTGTGTGTGTGCATGTATGTGGAACAAAATGGAACCTCTTTTGAGAAGTAAAAAAGAAAAACAGTATTATGAAAGTGTTATATATAAAAATGGTAATAAATATGTTGGTATATAATCCAAGTGAATCCTAGTAATATAAAATATTAAAACTGATCCACAAAAAGAACTCAATGTATTTATTATTACATAGCAAATAATCAGTAGACAATAAAATCCAAAATTACCTTATATGAGGAATAGGTTTATTTCAACTGATGTAAAATTTGCCAGATTTTATTGTGTACTCTCTATTATATATATAAAGATGGAAATAATTTTGACAGACTCCAATAATTAAACGAACACTACACCATTTCTTTCACTTCATAAACAGAAATACTATCAGTTATATTGGAAACACCACTTACACTTCTAACAAACACCATCAGCCAAAAATCAACTTCAATTTCTTAATGATTTACAGAATATCCTGATATGATTGCTAGTTATTTTCAATCGACAAAACAGGGGAGACAACTCATTTGAAGCAAGCTGTGCAATTTCTTTCCTATGCTAAATGTTAACGTTTTAAATGGTTCATGACCCCTGCTTTTGCAGAGTTTCGTTGCAAGATCTGACTTGTATATCACAATTTCCAGTATTTAAAAAAAAATAAAAGCTAAATAACTGTTCTGCTTCATTGATTTGGGGGTTTCATAGATCAATATGAAATCATAGCAACAACCAAAATGGAAGCTCTTTTGAGAAGTAAAAAGAAAAAGAATTAGTAGTAAACAGACAAAAAGATATGAATGTAGTAATTTTTATAGTTAACCAAATGTTAATTCTTTTGTCATGAAATCTCTCATCTTACTCAAACTTCTGAAATTAATCACTTTAATGACTTATTCAGACTCATCTTTGAACCATCGTTTTTACAACAATGTCGCCTGATTAAGAATTGAAAGTTCAATATCAAATTCAAGATTTTGTGACAAACTTGCACTTAATAGTCAAGAAAAAAAAAGAAAATTATGCAATGTAGAAATGAAGATGTCAGAATTTTCTGCATGTGTGGGTGGCATCCATCAACTTGAGAAACCTTGGATGTGTGCTCAAAAAGTTAAGCCACAGTTGGTGATAGCAGCACAGCATCTGTCATGGCTGTACTGGCCCCCAGTCTTGATTGCAAAGAATGCATATGTCATCTTGTTTCCTTTCTTTTTCAGCATGTTTTTTTCCAGTGGCAAGTCTTCATTTCTCTTCACTCTTTCAGCTCTCTGTGTAAATTGTGACCCTAGTGTGAGCGATTGTTGGCAATGTCTTCCCACATCTCAATGCCCATCTCCTTCATGTTCCTTTTACAGGTGTCCTTGAAGTGAAGATGCGGTTGCCCATGTACCCTCTTGCCAGTGACCAATTCCCCGTACAGAAGAACCTTTGGAATTTCTTATATTTCTGCACATACCAAAAGGATTAACGCATTTCCTGCTGAGAAAATGTAGAAGTTTTACTTCAAATTGGCTTCCTGAAATTGTCTACAGGAATTTCTGATGTCTGAATCTAGAGCCATTTTTTAGAAGAGAAAATAACCGGCTCAATAAACTGTAGACCTGAGGAAGGTGGAACATATCAATCAAAATGTTTGTATACAAACAACAAGAATGATGATACTAGTTCAAATGATTCTTGAAATGATTACTAATAAAAAAAAAACTCTGCCTGAGTGTAAACCAAAAAATAAATTTAAAAAATCCTTACTTACATTCAGACTAACATCCTCATCTTTGCCGTCTTTAGATGCTTGTCAGTCTGGGTGACTATCAGGGAATTTTGAACTGAACCCTTTAGTATTTAATCTACAGGGACAGATTGTTCACATTCCACTGTCCATGCTTAGGGGCTACTTGCCCTGTTCTTATTTAGTACAGTTCATTTATTGCTTGCTTAGTTTCAACTGAGTATAAGACTGTACAATCCAAACCCAGTGATTGAACTCACAATTACTATGTTACTAAATCCATGAATCAACACTGTAATCCACAAGACTATTTTTCTCATAACACACACCTGAAGAAGGCTGCAGGTCACAAAAGCTGAAACATTGTGATAACAACAACAATTATGAAGACATTAGTCCAAATGTAAATAACCCCTCATCTCAAAAATTCACAGAAGTAAAAATCAGGGGTTAATTAATGTCTGTCTTGTATGGCGGTGAAGAAGCAAAAGAAATATTTTCAAGGTTAGCAAGCCCTTCTTTTTTTTCTTTTTCTTTTATATTGAAAAGAAATGGTTACAAAATTTTTCTTAGAAAAAAAAAAAAAAAAAAGAGTATAAAGACTGAGAAAAGAAAGACAAAGCAAATGGGTAATAAATTAATAAAATATAAAATTAAATTTAAAAAGTTATTTTAGGGCTCAACTTAAAATTGAGACCAGGTAAAAAAAATAATTGAAATCTAAAATTCTATAAATAAATAAAAAAAAAAAATTAAAAAAATTCTAATAAAACCTAAACTTCAGAAACACTTTCCTAAAGTTTGAAAATTAAATTTTTTTTTTGCCATACAAAGCTAAAAAAAAAAAAAAAAAATCAGATCAGTTTTTTTTTTTTTTTAATACCCCCCCCCATCCAAAATGTATCTTTTGTTCAATTATTTTAGATGCTTAATCTGCACAGTAGTGAATAAACATTTGACAGTTCAGATGTACTACAATGGCCATTTTTATGTATGTACAGATTTAGGTATGGACAGGTATGTACGTTTGTAAGTATTTAAAAAACAAAACAAAAATAACATGCACACATACAAAATACAGTCGTGAACAGACACGGAAAGAGAGGAAAAAAAAAATACAATAATGAAGATGAAAAGATGGGTCAGAGATGGTCAGTCACCTCCTGTTGCTTGATTGTCTCATAGCCTTTTCTAATTGAAATTGTCGGTGGTCAGTACGGTCAAGAAAGGCCATTCGTTCCAGATAACTGAAAGAAAAACAAATTAGCTGCAGATCAGTGATGCCTCAAAAATGTTCAAATGGTAAAATATTGTACTACTTCTGTCCGATAATAGATGTTTCATTTGTATAAGCATTTCATGCACAAAATAACAACTATTATTAAGTGGGTAATAAGTAATACTAATTCTGTCTGATAATGTTCCATTTGTAAACATTTCATGCACAAAATAACAACTATTATTAAGTGGGTAATAAGTAATACTAATTCTGTCTGATAATGTTCCATTTGTAAACATTTCATGCACAAAATAACAACTATTATTAAGTGGGTAATAAGTAATACTAATTCTGTCTGATAATGTTCCATTTGTAAACATTTCATGCACAAAATAACAACTATTATTAAGTGGGTAATAAGTAATACTAATTCTGTCTGATAATGTTCCATTTGTATAAGCATTTCATGCACAAAATAACAACTATTATTAAGTGGGTAATAAGTAATACTAATTCTGTCTGATAATGTTTCATTTGTATAAGCATTTCATGCACAAAATAACAACTATTATTAAGTGGGTAATAATAATAATATCTGATAATGTTCCATTTGTAAACATTTCATGTTAACCATTTGTAATAAGTAATACTAATTCTGTCTGATAATGTTCCATTTGTATAAACATTTCATGCACAAAATAACAACTATTATTAAGTGGGTAATAAGTAATACTAATTCTGTCTGATAATGTTCCATTTGTATAAACATTTCATAGACAAATGCATTGAGTCCCAACTTTCCCAAGCTTCACCCAAAATTTGATGTTGGCACATTGCATACATTTTTCAGTTATCAGAAAGATTACAGAGAGCTGTTCGAAGACATGATAAAACTTTCTGCAACAATTGAACAGAAGGGGAGAGCATGAAACTTGCAGACTGATTCAATAGGCTGGGTACTTATGTTCATTACCTATATGAGCCTTTCTATTGAATATAGTGAAGACAATTTAGAAGCTTTCCAAATAAAATTTTGTATTATGGGACATAATCTGTCTATATTTCTGAGATGAGGTACACTATTTACATTATTCAGACTATTGTCCTTATCTTTGTTGCCATATTTATTACAACATTTTCACCGTTGTACAATCCGGCCTTCTTCAGGTGGCTGGAATGTCGAACTGAACCCTTTATTTCGCTCGCTGGGTTAGACAGTTCTAGTTCCACATGCCATGTCTAATGGATGTCAGTTATCAGTTATCTCCTGTTAACTCCCCACTCCAAGTTCTCCAATGCCTTAACTAAGTATTGAACTCACAACTCTTTGGGTCCTGTCACGAACGGCTTTATTCACTGTGCCATGTGTCCTTGAGGACACATGGCGCAGTGGATAAAGGCATGAGTGTGAGTTCAATACCTGGTTAAGGCAGTGGAGTACTTGGAGAGGAGGAATTAACAGGAGATAAGTGATAACTGACATACATTAGACATGGCACGTGGAACTAGAACAGTCTACCCCAGTGAGCGAAATAAAGGGTTTAGTTTGATATTCCAACCACCTGAAGAAGGTTGGAGCATACAACGGCTGAAATGTTGTAATAAATATGGTGAGAAAAGATGAGGACAATAGTCTGAATAATGTAAATATTTTGGGATAGAAGTTGAAAAAAAACATCTTTACATGATTTAAGAAATAAATATTATGTGACATTTTTATAGGCTGTATAAGAATTTAAAGGTTACTTACGACTGTTTGCTTCGATTGTGTTGTACTAACTCAGATTCAATACCTTCAGAATGTTTGAAGGTATCCCAATCTAATTTAGATTTATCCTGCAAAGAAACAAAAACAAAACTTAGGGGAAAATATATTTTTTTTAAAAATTTCATTTAAAGAAAAAAATATAACACTGTACAAATAATTTTAAATCTACCAGCAAAAGTGGATCTCTCAATAGAGCAGAACTCAAAATTAATCCCTGTCCCGGTGATAAGACGACTGTACTTTGGGATGAATGGGTCAATTTTTGGGGATGATGCAAAATTTTATGATACACCTTCTAAACAAACTAATTTCTTGAAATAAAAACAGAAAAGAAACTTACTTCTCACCAAGGATTGAATAAATAGAGCATGCTTGTATACCCACAGACACACAAAATAAACAAAACATAGTTGTCAGAACTAAATTTGTTTTAATAAAAATAGGAAAAAGAAATTATGCTGTTATTTTTTTTTTGGCAATCTTTGGTTAAAAACCATCAATAAACCCTGAACAAACATTTATGGGTTATGTTTTCTGCTTATCATTTAAATGCTCAACTGCTTCCTGCAAATCTGTTCATGGTCCTCGTGTCCAGCAATATGACTTGGTGGTGGGGGTAATTGGAGACCGAGTGGTAGAGTCGTGGCACAGGTCATGAAGTTCACAGATTGACTGGATCAAAATAAATATTCATCCTGTAGAAATTTTAATAGTGCTTTTTTCCCCATTATTCTACTAACAACTATAATCTTTATAAAAAAAATTATAATTATCTTTATAAAAAAAAAAAAAAAAAAAAAAAAAAAACTTGAATTTTGGACAGTTCTGGGCAATGGTAAAGGGCATAACAATAGTTCTTCAACTTGGTCTCAAACCATAACTTAGTGCTTTAGAAACATTTACTGTAATTCCTCAAGTATAATACAAATTTTTTTCTAAAAAAATGATAAGTAAAATCAGGGGTGCATATTATGCACAGCTACAAAAAAATCTTCAAAAAATTGCCATAAAATAAGAAATATCATAAAACTAAATTAGAATAATATTATCCTATGTTTAAAACCATTTTTAAAATAAGAGTAGGAAACACTGGCTGTAAGAGGTACAATTTATAGGGTTTGATTACCAAATAAGGGGTGCATATTATGCACGAGTAGTATTTTCCCACACTTTCAGCACAATTTTAGAGGTGCACATTGCATATTATACATGAGGAATTAAGACTTAACAATTGCTAATTTTTTTAAATTGCTAAAATGTAACCAAAGTTTGAAACTGAATCAAATTAACACTAAATATAAAGACTTTCAACGTTTCTTTTTGCATAAAATTTAAGATGCATTATCATTGGAATTTTATGAATTTATTTTTATGAAAGAATGAAGGTTGACCAGTCAGGATTGCAAAGTCATTGTGAACTCCATGATCCTTTCCTTAGTGTCATAGCATGTGCTTTGCCAATACTACATAAGATTTTTGAATTCAGAGTTGTCCCTCTCGTAGACTGGTTGCCACTCAAGGCTAAAGAGTACAGTCAGCTGTACTATTTAACACATAACGGGCGGGGGGGGGTCATAACTTTGCCAAGTGTATGTGTGTGTAAGTGAATGTAACAAACTCAACTTGAATTTGAACTTGGTTCTCCACCACTATCCACCATTAATAGAATGATTACAAAGCACATACAAATAAATTTTATTTATTTAAATCTATACATTTATATTATTTCAATAAAATTTATATTAATATATCATTTGAAATATATATCATTCTATAATAAAAAATAAAAAACATGAAAATAGACTTCTTTGTCTGGAATTCAGAGACAAAGTATTTTCATTCTTTCAGATGGATTCGTATATAAACATTAAAAATTTGCTTATTTTGTACACATACAAGCTTTTTGTATGCAAATTCTTCAGAATGCATTTGGATAAGAGCAAAAATAAGAATTGTTGAAGATGATATTTTACCAAACATGGAAATCTGTGACTGGAGAAAAAAAAACAAAACAAAAAAAACACGTAATATCAAAAGGACAGATAGGGAAAAAGCCTGGGCGTAGATTAATATTTGGGTAATCTACGCCAAGGCTTTTTCCCTATTTCACCTTTCTTAACAGAATTACTACTCTCCAAAACAAACGTACACAACAGTATCAAAAAATCAAAAGAAAATGGTTGAATTCCTCAACACAGCAATAAAAACAATATCTCTACATGTGACAGTAATTGACGTAATTTTCAGTATGAAAATAGAATTCTCTAAATTCTTCCAATTGATAAGTACATTTTGTTTTGTTATTATTAGTTACTTTGTTTAATAAATTCATTTCATTTTTTACCTTGAAAATGTCCACATCAGATGAAACACATCAGCAAATATTACAGTTTTCCTATTGTTTTTTACATTTATAAAATATTGTCTTTTTCTACAGGTTAACTCTGAGAATTTTTCATATATATATATATATATATATATATTCCATCAATTACAGTTCATTTCGTTTCGCCTTGAAAAAGTCCACATCGGACGAAACACGTCGGCTAATATTACAGTTTTCCTATTGTCTTTTACATTTATAAATATTGTCTTTTTCTACAGGTTAACTCTGAGAATTTTTTCATATATATATATATATATATATATATATAAAAAAAATGAAATTGTTAAAAGATTCTGTATACAAACTTATTGCATATAGAAAATAAGATTTGGGGAAAAAAAAAAAAAAGAAACACCTAAAATTCATATTTATTTATATATAATGTTTATAATACATGTACTTTTGCAAAGAAATATTAAAATTAAAATTATGTTACAAGTGAGTTTTCAGAAAAAACTGTTTCACTTTTTATTTTTTTTTAAAACTTTAACTAGTTTTACTTTTAACTTTTCCAAAAGTTTGTAACTGATTATATTTCGACATGTTGATGCTTGTGTTTTGAATAAATGAAAAAATGTGATTACAAAACCACTGAAGAAAAGTGTATTAAAGAAACATTTTTTTATAAACAAGTTTAAACCATTATTCAATTCATTGCATAAATCAGAGGCACGTCCCTCAAGAGATTCTACCATAAGCGACATATAAAGCCAGTTACGCCCCTTGAATTTTTCATTTGTTCAAAGAACAAGGATCAACATGTAAAAATATAATCAGTTACAACCTTTTTGAAAACTTAAAAGTGAAACCAGCTAAGTAAAAAAAAAAAAAGGAAAAAAAGGTAAAACAATTTTTCTGAAAACTCACTTGTAACACAATTTTAATATTTCTTTGTAAAAATACATGCATTATAAATATTACATAATAAATATTAGGTGTTTTTTTTTCCAAATCTTATTTTCTCTCTCAATATATACATACACACATTATATATATATATATATATATATATATATATATATACATACATACATACATACACAAACACAATAATAGAATAAAAAATTACAATATCGTCAGTAGCTCAAGTCGAGTCAAAGGCAGTCCAAAACAGAGTCACGTTCAGACAATTACTGCAAGACATTGGAATAGTGATACTGGTCGAGACTACATTGTTCTCTCTACTAAACCTGATTGTTCATACTCACACTTCTACTTCTCTGTATATATTCCTGTTTGTAATATATTTGTGTTATTCCATACCCGTGTTCGAGTTCTTCTTTATTGGTTCTACCTTGACTATCACCGTGGTACCAGGAACTGAACCATAAATATATATATATATATATATATATATATATATATATATATATATATAGAGGATTTTTATTAATCCCAACAAATTTTTATCACTTTAAATGTTATTTTTAGTGGATATTCATATTTGAATAGGCGCTCCATTTATTTATTTATTTATTAAAACGGTATATTTATTCATTTTTGTCTACCGGTCTGAATGTTCATGAAATCTTATTAAAGAAAAATTTACGTTCTCTGGCATGATTCAAACCTACATCCATCTGGTCAGAGGGAGTTATCGTTAAATCCTATATGTTCTGACCAATTGAGCTGCAAAGAACCAATTAATCAGACAAGGACAAAATTGTACCTTTAAGCAAAACTTCTCACATCACAGATCTACTGAAATATTCATATCTGCAGTTTTGTATCCAAACATAAATAGAGAGAAATCTTAGATCCATTCTAAAAATTGTGGTTTATATGCTGCCACATGTCATCTTTTAAACTTAGAATTTGCCATTACCTCCTTAAAATGTTGATGTTATTAAAGTCGAAATAGTCGTTTTTATTAGCAGCATATATAAAGGTCAGGTGACTACAATAGCAGAGAAAGATAAAAGACATTACTATTTGTCCAGTGAATATGACTTACCAAAGTGCTGATTTTGGGTTTTTTGCCAATCTTATTGAGGAGACTTCCTAGGCCACTGCCACCTCCTGGACGCTTATTTCTGAAATAAAGTTTGAAATCAATAAGAAATGATTATATATATATATGACCTGTGTTACAGCAAAACAGGCATATATGTGGATGACTATGTTACAATCTCGTCATTTCAATTGAGCACTATTGAGAAAAAGATAACTCCAAAACAGTAGTCATCACTGCTATTAACGCACCATTCTTCATTAATGAATTGAGCATTCTGGCTGCTGATGTTTGTATACATTCATATATTATAGATTAGAATTTTCCTTTCTTCACCATGTGTTGATAGCTTAGGGGTAGGATCTCTAACTGAGCCAAATTGGTCAGGTCTCGACCCTCGCTTGAAGCAATCAGATGTCTAGCCACACTGATGAGCTGTGATACAGGTTTGTATGTGGACGTATATATATATATATATATATATATATATATATATATATATATATATATATATATAGTATATATATATAGAGTCTAAGGAGTTTTTTTTACAATGCGAGTATCCCAAAAGATTGCTTTTATACTCATTTTGAAACATTGCTGCTATACTCATAATTAATCTTATTTAGTATTGGTTGTATTTTTTTTTATTTATATAGAGCGCTTCAAAAAGTTGAAGTTCTTGTCTTTTATTTTCATGGTGAAGTATACGCGTATTGTCAATTAATATTTCTCTAAAACGTGAATGTGGTCAGGAATGTTTTTTTTTTAAATTACATGGAATAATTAAGGATACTTTACCCCCAGAATTTTAGAAAACAACAAAGATGAGGATAATTGCCAGAATGATATATGGAATAATTAAGAAATCTTTATCCTAGAATTTTTTTTAAAAGAATCCTTGCTGTATCTCTTTTGTCAAATAAAACAAGATAAAATTCTCTCAAAATTGGGAAATAATTAGCAATGTCAATTGCCAGCAAATAAATTTCCTCAGGTGATAACAAGAATTTCAAGTGACCTTATTTATCATTTTGCCCAGACTGAAAGTTGATTGAAATAATGATTGCTCTAATTGCACAAGGCTCCTGGGATTAATAAAACTGATATGGAAATACTTACGCAAATAACAACCTGCTCGATGATGTAGATGATGATCCAGATCCAGTGATGCTGCCACTGCTGCCTTGGAGGGAGGGAACGTTAGGGCCAGTTTCTGGAGGTGAAGAGCCGTCAGTGGGAGCTTGCCGAATGGATTTGTTAGACAATTCTTCTTTTGCCTCTTTTGAATTTGCATCAACTTCTTTGGAGATTCTAAATAGAAAGAGAAAAATCTTTGGAATGACGAATATTCCATCTTGCAAAGTTTTTAAGTCGCTTATTTTCGTATTAAGTTTTCCTTAGTCATTCATTTGTTGACATTTTCATTTACATTAGATTGTGAAAGAACACGATTTAATTCTCATTATTTATTACTAACTTGAGCCAAAGTTTGTTTAGTGCCTGCCATTCATTAGTTGATGACCCCAGAATCATGTTATCCCTCCACCACTGTTTTAGTTTTCCTCTACTTCTTTTCCCAGGCACCTGATCATATGATGTCTTAATGCAATCAAATAGCTTCAAGGATTTACTATGGATGGCAGAACTTGTTGCAAATGTCACCTACCTAATCATCCAGACTGAGCAAATGAAGTCCTGAATAAACACCTAAATATATATTAGAAGCAGTTGTGTAGAGTAATTGGCTATGGTTAAATGTAATAAATGCTCAACAGACAGAATTGGCAAAGTTTGAAATAAAAAAATAACAAAAGAAAAAAGAACATGGCAAAAAATAATATTAAGTAAGCAAACAATATGTGCAAGACAAAGCAAAAGTGATAAGGCAAAAAGTTCACAAAGAATGGTGTAGACACACAAAAGGGGATACAGACAAGCAATTGCAGTGTTCTGACTTCAACGTAAGCAAGAATAGAACTAAGTCAGATGAGATCAAGAAGTTGCCTATTTTTTTTTGGCTAGGAAGAAATCACAGCATGAATTTTTCACCAGCCCTAGTGTAGTGTAGAAGTTTTTGTTTTTCCAAAAAAATTGGTTAACTTAGCCAGAGAGTGAATGGTCATTCCTCCACCACCTTTTATTTTAATCACCAACATTTTCCTGTTTCCTTAATTCCCTGCTTCCACCCTGTCTTTAGGTGACAAAAGTCATAGTTCTCTAGAGTGATGGGATCATTTTGTGTTTTTTGTCTGTTTTATTTTTTTCTACATGTTCCCACTGTACTTTTCAATAAGTTAACTTGCTTCTCTGCCACATTAGCTGCGAAAAGGGTCCCATACTAACATTTTCATTGTATATTTTTTTGTCTTGTCATGCGGTTATTTTTATTATTTTGTAAATAAAAATTATTTATACTTCTTAACTCCCTCCTCACATGCTTGTAAATATGGGGAAGTAATTTAGGATCTCATGGGGAGCACATATTGTTTTGGTGCTTGTGGTATGAATGTGTTTTTTTGTAAAAATGCAGTATTGTGGTGGAAGAATTTATTGTAATGCATGTTTGAGTAAGTGAATATGACTAGTTAAATTAAAGACCAGACCAGTGATGACCAGCCTTCCCCACTCACCCCCTTTTTTGAACTTGTGCCACACTTGTATTTTAATAATACAATAAATATTCATTCCACAGCGTATTGAAACCAGCAAATTGGATTACACAGTAAATTCATTATTGTTTAAAAATTATGGGATACAAAAACCAAGCCAGTTGATATGGACTTTGAAAGGTCATTTCTTAAAAAGGGGTAATTAAGCTTTCCTTGTTATATATTTTTTCCTTTCACCTACTTTTCTTTTTATTTTTCTCTAGCTTTATTTTTTTTTAACCTCCTACCTTTCCTCCTCTACACTTTTTCTCTTCCTCCTTCAATTTTTTTTTAACCTCCCACCTTTCCTCCTCTATGCTTTTTTCTCCTCCTCCATTTTTTAAACTTCCTACCATTCTTTTTTAAACTTTTTCTCTCCTACCCTCATTTTTTTTAAAACCTATTACCATTCTTCCCTTACAGTCTTTCTCTCCTCCTCTCATTTTTTAACCTACTACCATTCCTCTCTTACACTTTTTCTCTCCTCCTTCCCTGATTTTTTTACCTCCTATCTTTTCTCCTTTACAGGTTTCCCTCTCCCCTCCTTATTTTTCCTTTCTGCTTAATATCATTATGTATGTATGTTAAGACAGCATAACTAATTGAAACTGAGAAGGTACAGGGATTGGTTAGATACTACATCAATCAGTATACAACTTCCCAATTAATTCATCGGCTAACACCTATTTGGACAGAATACAAACCAAGCTTGACCTATGTTACATTTAAAATGTATCTCAACTAAGAAAAATTCAAAAACTTCCCAAAAACTCTCTGGATGATGTTTTTATTTATTTATTTATTTATTTATTTTTACTAAATAGTCACTCAATACAAGGCTCAAGAGTCACTCAAAGTAGAGGGCTACTGAGTGAGGTTATTGTATGGACATAAGAGGAGGAGCTAAGTATAGATTATGAGGATATGTAGTATAGATCAAGGTTTCTAAACGTGGGCCATATGTCCCCGCCCCCTCGGTGGGGATATTTTTAGGGACCACAAGGTCAAGTTTGAAAAATGAAGGGGGCCACAAGTAGGCACAGAAAATTTAGGACTCACAAAATATATACATGGAGTATTTTGTAATTAATAATTATTATTTAAAATAAAATATTAAATTCATTATTAAGTTAAATATTAAATTAATCAAAGCCATTTTGCTAACATAAATATTTATTTATTGTAATTTTTTCATCTGATCTATGCAAAATGGCCATTTTTATTTTTCAATTTCTTAAGATTTAAAACACATAATTTAAAGTTTAAATTAAGGTACGTTTTCACCAACTTGTCTTTCAAATTTGAAAAGCTAAATGTCCTGAACATAGAGCTCCAAGGAAATGACTCCACCCTATTTTCCTGCAAGGAGGCAATTAATGTATTTAACAGGAAACTAAAGATGTTAGACCTTGAGAGATGGGAGTTTGCACAGTTACCTTCCTTAGCAAATATATCCACTGAGCTGTTTGATGATGACTTAGCAGTGTATGTTGATCATTTGAAGCAGTTGTATTAATGATATGAAAACTTGCTTCTCTGATCTACTCCAAATGACAGTGCTGCACTGGTTTGTGGATCCCTTCATTGCTAATGCAAGAATTTGGGTTTACCCATTTTTCCCAGAAATTCTTTGCGATCAAGGTAACAGCACACCTTGTGTCAAGCTGCATGGGAAAATTTATGCCATTCAGTTTTACTGTCTCTTTACATTTTGCAGGTGTTCCTATCAAATATACTTCTGTGTTTTCAGTATGAGGGTTTTCTACTTTCTACCCTTTCTTTTTTGTATCTGCACACAGATTAGAAATGGTCTTTTCTTTTACAGTTTAAACATAATTTTCCTAGGGTTGGACATTTGATTTTGTGTTCTTCGTTGCAATATTTGCACTTAATTAGAATTTTAGTTGTGTTGCATGAAGGGCCATAAAAAAACTCGCACTGGACTGAAGGGGGCCACAACCAGAATACAATTCAGAAACATTGGATAGATAATAGTCGACTCTAGACTTAATGTAGCAATCAAGCAAGCTTCCTCTCAGGAGCCTGTTCCAGAAAGTAGCAGTTCTCAGTAGAACTTCCAATGGAATATGACGAGAATGAGTATGCTTTGATCCTGTGCATGTGGCATAACAAGTCCTAGCCGTGAAAGTTGGAACAGGTGGAACTAAGGAATGTAGCTTGCATGAATATTTGTCATGGCAGTAGCAATTACAGTAGTAGTAGCAGTAGGTCTGTGAGGTTTCATTTTATTTGTGGTAAATGGGTTGGGAGGTGGTCATGAAAATGCTTTTGGCTGCTCCAGCCCAGATATGGCTGCAATACTCCATTTTTGTCTGGATCTGATTCTTGTAATGATGGAGCATAGCAGGAAGAGTCAGGTACTTTCTGGTACAGCATAAAGAACTGATCATTTTTCCAGCTTCTTTAGCAATGGAGAATATATATTATATATATATATATATATATATATATATATATATATGAGTTCCACTCGAGGTCTGGGTTGAATTTGTGTCCGAATCAGGGTCAGTGCATACTACCCTTGAACCCCCAACAGGGTGGAACCTGATTAGTGGCCACCCAGAGAATGATTTGTAACTCTTGCTATTTTATCAACAATTGTTTTTTCTGCTTACATTTATATACGTTACAAATTAAACTAAGCACATCTATTATGAAAGAATGAAAAAGGTTTTTTTTTCCAAATCTGTGAATTTGTTTTGCTCAAGTCTTGAAAAAAACACTATATAAAATTTCCTTATTTTTTATCCATAATGTTGAATGTGTTAATTGCCGCAAAATGTTGATTTCTTTAAGATGGAATGATCTATTACGACATGTCTCTAATTTGCATTTACATACATTTTATTTATTTTAAATTTTTCTGGTTGAATTATTCACTTATATTGCATATGATTCCTTATTGTACATAATTAGGTTACAACTCTTATTTTATATGAATAATACTACCTTATGAAAATTGAGATGTAGTAGAGTGTGTGGGGATATCATGGATTGGAGAGGGGTCACGAGACCCTTGCCTTAGCCCTGGTTCTAATAGGTGTTCAGGGCAAGGAGCATCATTGAGTACAACCATTCATTAGGACTGGAGAAAACAAGTCATTGTGTTGTTGAACTAGTTTCCATAGCATTTCAACCGATTCACTCTCCAGCCTTTTTTACAAGCAAAACATCATACATCTGAAGGAGGCTGTAGAATGAATTGGCTGAAATGATAACAAGAAGAGCAACATGAGTTTGATAGTCAAAACTAATTTTGAAATAATAAGGACAAGAAACCTACTTGACTTCCTCTCCGGCAAAATCGTACACTTTTGTGACAGTCACTTTCTGTGGGGTGGTGGCTTTTATGGGGGAGCTGGCATCAGAGCCATTTGTTTGCATCGGAGATGATGAAGCTCCATCACCAGGACTTCTGTTACCCACAGGCTGAAATAAACATCACACAAAACAATTAGACATCAATGGCTCTATATGTGTTTAAAATGTATACACACCTATCCAAGCTTTTTTTTTTTTTCCTTTTTTATCAGGCCTCCAAAACAGACAATAAGAGATTAATGCCTAAATGAGTTTAGCTTTTAATCGAATTCACCCCAATGCAAGGCAGTAAAGCCACTAAGACATAAGGGGTTACTGAATGTGAGAGAATTAGAAAAACAAACATTATTAAGAAATGAGGAACAATAGAAGAGTAATCAAGAAGACAGTAGATAATGATTGGTATTGTGTTTAGATTTTTTGAAGATCAAAATTAGCTGGAAAGCATGGAGGAGCCTACACTGTAGAAATTTGAGCAGATATCACATTGGGGAAAGGAAGGTTGAGATGGAGGGAGGTGATTTTTTGTTTACTGGTTTACTCATATTTCTTTTTTTTCATTGTGTCAGTCATAGGGGGTGCAAGACAACCCTGCCAACCTAGCACCCGGACAATTTAGGACTGAGACAGACAATAAGAGATCAATACTTAAATGTTTTATTTTTTTTAATCATTTCACCCCATGCAAGTCAGTAAAGCCACTAAGACATAAGGGGCTACTGAGTGTGAGAGAATTTGAAAACAAACATTATTAAGGAACAATAGAAGTGTAATCAGGAATACAGTAGATAATGATTGGTATTGCATTTAGATTTTTGAAGATCAAAGTTGACTGGAAAGCATGGAGCTGGAAGAGTGTTCCACTGACGAGAAATGCAAGAAATGAAACTTAGCATAGAACTTAAGGGTACATCTAGCCAATCCAACTGTAAAATGATGGGTGTTGCTAATCTAGTAATGCACTTAAATTTGTAAAGTCTATGTAACATAACAAAGTGCCATGTTTATTTATTGTTGATGCAACTACACATGTGCATAAACAAGAGACACTGGAAATTTTAATATATATATATATATATATATATATATATATATATATAAAATTTTTTTTAAATAATCTATGTGTGTATGTATGTATTTTATTACTCTTTCAATCCTGCAATTATGAGTTTAGCTAATGTAATATCTTTCTATTTGTGGAAATATATTGGGGCTATTTTTGATGAATAAAACTTTTCTCTATTAATGTATTGGTTTGGTTTGGTTTATTTTCTTTTACGGCATATCAACCTCAATGGGTTATTTAATGCCAACAACATTTTTAGGATAGATTTGTATGAATAGAGTATGTATTCTTTGGTTCAGATTGGTTTATTTTGTTTTACGGCATATCAACCTCAATGGGTTATTTAATGCTGACCATAATTTTTATTGCTGGTAATATTTTGTTTTGTCTAAAATCTGTTTCTGGTAATATATTTCCTTCAAAATTGTATTACTGGTAATAATTTTTTTCAAAAAAGTATTGCTGGTAATAGTTAACTTTTTGCTAATAGCTGGGACCCTAACAGGTGCTACCACCTTGGGTCAGGGTGGACCTGGGAACACCAGCAATTAAGAGATGGTTCCACGCTCCTCATAACCTCCTGATCAGAGGCCTTGCTGCTGGACGTAGTCTTACCCCGGATGCTCTATTAATGTATTGGTGTGTTTCACCTACAATTTACAACATACGTTTATGCAACAAATTTATTATAATTTTCATTTCAACAAATAACATTGGTCAACATGATTTTTGGTGCCAAGAAACAAAACACATTTTTTTTGGCTAATTTGATGGTGCTGATTTCAAAAATTTCAGAGGTAATAATCCATTAGTAAATAATCCAAGTGAATTCTAATAATATAAAATATTAAATATTACAACTGATCCACAAAAAGAGCTCAATGGATTTATTATTACAGAGCATATAAATTACATGGAATAAATGAATGAGATAACTTTGGATTTTTATTTTATGTAAAATATATATATATATATATATATATATATATATATATATATATATAAGCTAAAGAAAAACACATGATCAATTGGTTTTTTGCTAGATATCCAACAAAATAATGTGACCTTGTGGGTGATGAAATATTCACTACCCTGCAACCCTTACCCTCAGACAAACATCACTAGCCTCTCACTACTCTATTACTAAGGCAAGTTACATTCCTTAGTTCCACCAGCATAGGCCATCACAGCTAGGATCTGCCATGCTGCATTCACAGTTGCAAACTATCTACATTCCCTTTGTGTTCCCTGGATAAGGAGTAAGTTTCACTCAAACAGCTTCTTCTTCAAAACTGTTACTTTATGAAAAACTCCCGACTGGATGCTTCACTACAATCTTGGTATCTTCAAAGTTGGTGTGTGTATATTATGTACACATCAGCTACCCTCATTGTAACATCTTAAGGTAGCCAAGTAGTTTTTAAAATGGCCAGATTTCACAAAAAATAGTTACCAAATACCTAATGATTATGCGAAAATGCATTAAACTTTTAGTTGTGGTTGGTCATTGTTTTTTTTAGGAAGTTATTTAGAATATACATCAAATGTGTTGATTTTCAACTGTAATGAGACTGACCACAATTTTAACAAAAAAAAAGAAGAAAGTTCTAGAGAGGGGTAACAGAAGAAAGAAGAACAGGAAGGCCTAAAGGTGAAGGTGGGGATTAAAATTTAACAGAGAGAAGTTTTAAAGTTACCTCTCTCTAGAGCTTTCATACATTTCCCTCTCACACTTGTTTCCCACTCCCACACATGCCCTCCCACTAAAATTTCATTTTTTATACATGGAGTTATATTTTCCGATTTCTTTTAGAATTTGTAGGTCTGATGAATTGGATTATGATTATGATTCCAATGTAATAAATTATAACCATGGAATATTAGTGTTTGAGCCTTTTTTATTATATTCTTCCTCTGTCCTGGACATCAAGTTCTACCTGAATTCTATCCTCTTCGAAATTTATATATATATACCAGTAATTATATATATATATATATATATATATATATATATATATATATATATATATATATATATATATAAAAAAAATATACTTTTATGGTATGCTATAATTATAAGTGCTCAATATCAGAGATAGAGCATATATAAATTTGACAGTGGTCAGTGGCGACAGTCTGTGTCATGCTTACGGATGAAACAGGCAGTTGCTGCTGGGTATTGACCTCACTGTAAGAGAGAGTCAGATAGGTAGATTCATGTCACAATCATTTCTATGAGTATCATGCAAATTTATGTTCTGAGAGTTTAGAGTTGTTATTTTCAGAAAAAATGGGCTCATATTTACATACACTGCTAAGTGAAGTCAATGATCCAGTGCTTGACCTGCCACTGGCCCCTGATCTGTTGGTCGGCCGAGATCCAACATCCGAGAGGAAACTCTGCCAAAGAGACTCTGATCTTCTTTTTTCTTTCTCTTCGTGTTGTCTTAAATTTTCCTCCATTTGTTCCTTTTGTTTTTGACGTCGTTCCTCATCCAAACGAAGTGTTTCTGGATCAGCTTCACATCCATCAGGCAATTCATCTTCTAATCTGATGCCACCACGCCTTTTCCTAAAAAAAATAAAAAAAAAGAACAAATGAAGAACAAATGAAGAATTATTAAGCAGGAAATTTATTTTTTTCTTTAACCATTTCATCCCATGCCAGGCAGTAAAGCCACTGTGACACAAAGGGGGTCACTGAGTGTGAAAGAATAAGAAAAAGAAATCATTAAGGAACGAGGAACAAAAGAAGAGTAATCAGGAAGACAGTAACAACTAACATTGCATTTAAATTTCTGAAGATCAAAATTGGCTAGAAAGCATGTAGCCGGAAAAGGGTTCCACAAGTGAAAAGTATGAGAAAAGAAACAGCATAGAACTTACAGTTAGAATCAAAAGTCAAAAGGGAAGGTTATATGCAAGTGTACTAGTTTGGTAATTTTGCTTACTTGCATCAATAAAATAACTTATATCCTACTATAGTAATGGTAACATTAGCCATTTCCTTATAAGCATTCATTGATTGATCAATCAATCTATTTACCAACCTGGAGATTTGTGCTTTTTTTTGTTTTTTTTATTTTCATTCCATGGCTATCAAGTTGGGATCAAAGTGTAATATCTGTTCTCTTCATCTCTAATTAGCTGATTTCTTATAAGGAAATATGTGGCAGCCACTGCTACATTCAGTATAAAATCTTTCTCTTAAAACAATTTTTCAGGGACCACTCTTTCCAGTATGATGGGTGCTTTCTTCCTAACATTTTGTTCAAAGTAGTGTGGATCATCACCATTTTGATTATATTATTATCTGTTTGAGTTACACATGCTATCTATTCTAGTTGTTGCTAGTGTTGAATGTCCTCAAGTGATATGATTTCTGTTTTCTGGCACAGTTATAAGAGAGTCAATCTGAACATAATGTTAATTTTGCTGAAGTAGAACAAGCAATTTTCATAATAATAATTCTTGTGGCAAAAGCCATCACTTTTAGTTGTTAGTTTGCTTATTTACAAGATTATTTCTGTAGAGGATTTTTTTTAATTCCATAATATTTCTTACTACTATAAACTAGGCACCTTCACTTTCTCTCTAAATATGAGCATACCATGATAAAAAAAAGACCCCAAACTTGATGAAAACAAATTGATTATTTTATTAAATTTTTTTCATCCTTTCTAACATGTTCAAAATTTAGGTTAAAAACCTTTTTTTTGTGTCAGTGGGTCAGCAAAGATTAGTATTAGATTTAGTGCCTTTCTTCCAGTAAAAAACAGATTTGGAAATTCTTGCAAAAATCAAATTGTCAGATTTTAATGAAACTTATAGGACTTATTCACAGATGAATTAAATTATTTGAGAAATTTTATTTTTTGGAAAATCTTGGTAGAAATATAGATGTGTGTGTGTGTTATTCCCCCTTAATGAAATTTCGAGAAATTAAATATTATACCACTTCATATTTGTATTTGTTAAAAGCAGGACACATTAAAGAATGTAAATCATCAATTTTTTTTTTTTTTTTCAAACAGTTACTCATTTACTGAAAATCTGCTGTGAATCATAAAATAAAAAAATGCAATCAAACTAAGACATTATTCTATAGGAAAAGCCAGAAAGCACAAAGTGATATGAAGAAATTTTTTAAGTATTTTCTAAAAGAATCTCTTCTTCAAAGACAACTTACCTTGCAGGAAGAGCAGGACCAGTCTTTCTTTTTCGTTTAAGAGATTTGTTTAAAAGGGATTCATCTCCAGACTCTCCCAGATTTTCCTCATCCCCAGAATTCTCTTCCACACTGACATCTTCAGCATCTGAAAAGAAGTCTAGATATTAACATCCATGTCCATATTTCCCTTACAATTATAAAACCTGTTTATGTCAGCAATGATATCACAAGCAGGATTTATTAAACAAAAATAACAAAACTTTCCTTTACATTTAAAGATTATATTGAATCATTTGCTAGGTCTGCTGTAAGGAAAGTTGGTTCACTGTGTCGTGGCTAGACAATTTTTCATATTACATATTTATAAGTCTACCATTCATTTACATGGCCCAGTGCTCCTGCAATAGATTTAGAGAATCTGCAATATCCTTGGCCCTGACCTGGTATCTCTGCTTCAGTCACTTTCCCACTGCCATAATGTAGCTTCCCTGTGCATTTTCTATAAATACATTAATAGTAATTGTTCTGATGAACTTTCTTCTTTGGGACCAAGACAAGGGGGCAGGGCAGGAGGGGTCTACACGCTTCCTTCTGGAAACACGCATGAACATTACACACACACACACACACGTATGTACGAACATTCACACATACTCTCCACAGTAATTTGTTACCTACACTGTATTGTCTTTGTCAATTGTAACCCTTTTTGTTTGTTAATACACACACATATATACACACACACACACACACCAGTCTTTGTTGTTTTTTTTCACATTTCTCTTTTACATGTGTTTTGGTGGACTCCTCAGGAGCCTGCCATATTTGTAGTGGGCCCCATTTCAGGAGACCACACGTCTTCATCTCACAATGCATACACACACCTGCCTGCTACAGAGTCAACTTTGATTTTCAAAAATTTAAAGGCAATGTCAATCGTTATATTCTGCCATCTTAATTTCTGTTCTTTTATTGTTCTCTTGACATAATAGTGTTTTTATTTTCTTATATTCTCTAACACTCAGTAACCCCTTGTGTCTTAGTGATTTTATTGCCTTGCTTGCAGTGAAAAAAAAACAACAACCTCTAATGATAATGTTATCATAAGGTCATTGGTGATAAAGAGAAGAAAGAAAAAGAACAAAAAGCATATTTGTATATTAGTGCCAACTGCATTTGAACCCTGATACATTTTTATTACTTTAAACATTATTTTAGCGGATACCTGTATTTGAGTAGAAGACCCGTTTTTATTTTAAATAGTATTTATTTTGTACACTAACCCACACACTCAAAAAAAAAAAAAATACTTATTAATGTTGTCTACTCAAATATGGGTATCCACTAAAAATAATGTTTGAAGTATAAAAATATATTGGATCAAAAAATAAAATACATTCTTTAGAAATAAACTATATATATATATATATATATATATATATATTTCTGATTAAATAAATTACAGATATTATTTTTAATTAAATTTCCATAAAATGTTTAACATCCCATGTATTACAATTAAATGATGTGAGAAACATGCTATAACTATTAAAATTATTTTTATTTTCCATTTCCCCAAGAATTTCAATCTTCTTCAGGGGTTTATATATATGTCTAATTTGTTACCTCTTCACCACTGAGGCCCGTTAGCACAGTTGATGTATCATTACCTCCTATTGTAACTGTTTTTCCTTTCAATTCTCGGTCCTCTGATGAGTCCCAAATATAGATTAACAGCCGTCCAGTACTTTCTGCATTCTGTTAAGGTTTCTTCTAGACTCGATGAATTACTTAATTTTGATTATTTCAAATCTTCTAATTGTTTATATATATATATATATATATATATCCCCAGGTAAGATGAGAACAAATAGAGTACGATTCCAACATTTGTAACATTTAATTTAAAAGAAGACTCAATACAATGCAGAGCAATATTCTTTATTTCAGAATATTACATCAGAAAACCATGTCAAAATCACAGTAATGTTTTGATGCATATCAACAAAATATCTGCAGTTGTGTAACGGTTTTTACATATTTTTTTTAATGTAATATCCTAAAATAAAGTATATATATATATATATATATACACAGACACACACAAGTATGGATGTGAGTTTGTGACCCTGGCTTTTACACTTTTAATCATGCTGCAGGAAGAATTATTTGAAGATGAATAAGTGTAGCACACCAAATTAGTACCCGGAAAGGGATGAGGAGTTGAAAAGAGTAATTCGTTTATTCAGGTACTTGTATTTGGTAAGAGTGGAAAAGGTTTTGGCATTTGTACATATATCAATATGTAGAAAATGTTTTACCTAAACATTATTGCAACATCTCTGTTTAAGTTTTAATCAATTTTTGAGCACAAAAAAATTTTTCTAGTAGTAGATTGGCATCTTTTGCTATCTCAATGCACCTTGGGATTTCAGTGTCCAATTTCCCATCCTCTGTTAAAACACATTTTTGCACTTGTTTAATTTGGTTATCTTTAATTTGTAATTTGCATTTCCGTTTCATACATTCTGCCTTCTTACAATTGATAGTCCTTTCTTTTTGCTTTCCTTTACTAACTTCTGCAGGAGTATCTGTAGTTTACTTTCTGTGTCTACTATCAACACCGTGTCATCTGCATATTTTGTTAAGATTTTAGCCACCAATAACAAACCCCGGTAGGACTTTTAATTCTCTCAGGATTGCTTCATTATAAAAGTTGAATAAGTCTGGTGAGAAGAAGCATTCTTGTCTTATGCCCTTTCTATTTTTGTGCATTTACTGTATTCATTTTGAATCCACATGTAGGTGGTTTTCTCCCAGTATCTGTTCTGGATAATTCTAATATCCTTCCCAAATCAAATAAAGTTCAAATAGTTCTTTGTGGTTCCTCAAATGCCTTTTCTTTCTTTTTATGTTCAAACATAGGCTCTTTGTCTATCCCTTGTAGCTCTCAATGTTTCATCTCTGCCTGTCCCCAGACCCTTGTTTTTGCTTTCCCAACGGATATTTTGCATTGCTTTCCTTTGTGTATTTCCTCTATTCAACCTGTGTCCTTCTCCAAGACCTTCTCTTTCATTACATGTTCCAGGCGATTATGGCCTCTTTTGCTATAAGCCTCCTCCTTGTCTGCATCCAATATCCTCAGCATCCTCAGCATCCTTCTGTAGAACCATATCTCTGTCGCTTCAAGTCTCTTCTTCATCTTTGAGGAAACCATTCAACATTTGATGCCCCAAAAGAGGATAGACGTCACGTAACAACTCAGTACTCTTTTCTTTGTTACTAAAGAAATCCTCCTGTCTCACAATACTTTGCCCAGGTTTTGGAATGCGTCCTTGGCTAACTCAATATGTCTATGGATCTCAGTGTTGCACTTGCCATCCTCTGTCAAAACACTTCCCAGATATTTAAACTTCCACACCTGTTTGATTTTAGTGTCCCCACATTTTGGGCTCATCCTTTTACTGATGACCATGCATTCTGTTTTCTTGTAGTTTATGCTTAGTCCCTTCTTATCACTCTCCTTCACTACCTTCTGTATGAGGTTTTGTAACTTCTAGCAGTTCTAATACGTACCCTGTCAAATGCCTTTGCATAATATATAAAACATAGGTATACATGTAATGCTCATTCTGATATCATTCTGAGTAACTGAATTTAAAACCAGTCACTAGCAACTCCATCTTGTAAAAATTTACTTGATATGGAAACCACACACTGAGGATGTGGTCCTAGCATGTGAGGCAGTGACCCCATCTTTCACGGAAGAAGCCTATGGAACTTGAAGGAGTGAATGAGAAAGGAAAACACATTTATACACACAATAAAAATGATTTCTGAGGTATGGCAATCAGTGTTCTTTTTTTTCAAACAGGAGCATCTACACGGCCTTGTGGGTGATGAATTGTCTTACATAAGATTTCAACACACTCTCCTTTGTTTCTAACATTTTCATAATTCTTCAGGCTTTGCTTAGCTTTTAGAAGACAATTTTATCATAATGTGCTGTAACATTTCTGCCATCTGTTAAAAGACCTCCCAGAATGATTTCCACACTTACTTGATTTTGATGCATCTAATTTGTAGTTCATATAACTGAAATGTGGCACATTCACTTCAAAAATATATGTTGCTACTCAGCAAACACTTGAACTTTGACACTAGCATTTGTTTTGGTGCTGATTCCTGGTATGTTCTATAGTGAAACCTTTCATTGTTGAGTTGCGAGTCAGACTTTGTTGAATGCAAACTTTTTGTCCATAGATGAAAGCCTTAAAGATGGAGGATGAAAAGTTACACTTTTGTCATATTATCCTCAATGAACTTCAGAAAGGAGTAAGTGTTGGACCCGCAACTGAAAGCATTCGGAAGGTTCATTTGGATCATGCTCCAACTCTTCGGACAGTTAAAAAGTGGTTTGGCAGATTTTGTCAGAGGGATTTTAACCTAAATAATCAATCATCTATTGGGCGAATTTTATGGTGTCGATGAAGATACTCTGTTCTGCTTGCCATCATGGAAAATAAACCGAAGATTTTGACAGAAGAGATTGTTAAGAGGATGGATACCTGTAAGTGATCTGGGATTGCAAAGGAAATACTTGTCGCAGATTACTTCCACAACGCAGAGAGTAAATCACTAAGTTCAGGCTCGAACTTCGGGAACAGAAAGAAATGCCAAAAACTCGATTCACAGTTACTATCTCACAAATCACAATGCACACCACCAGTCAGAAAAATAACTCACTTTCCAACAAATGCAGTAGCCAAAATACCTGAATTTTTCCTCCTGATTCGAGAACACCAACTGCTTTTATCGACCGAGCATTTTTTCCATTCGTCGACAGCTGGGAGATGATGCCCAATTTTTGCATACCAAAATACTTTTATAGCGATTCCTGCAACAGACTTGTTTTTTTTAATTTAAATATTCCATCTTCAGCATGTCATGTGGAATATGTGCCCCCTTTTTTTGGTAAGTAATTTTTTTTCACCACATTTGCTGTCGTAGGATACATGCGACGCGCTGTTGCTTGGTTTGACTAGGTAAGTCACTGTTTTCTTTGCTATAATATAAAACAGTAATTCAGCACTCTTCTTCGTTTCTAACAAAAATCTTCAGTTTCTCAGCAACTTTCTGAGCTTTTGGAATGCTTCTTTCATTAGACCAATGTTCGTTTTGATCTCAGTGTCTTATTTTCCGTTCTCTGTTAATATGCTCCCCAGATATTTTAATTTCTGCACCTGCTTGATGTTTATATGCATTAAAATATACATTTTTTTTAAATGGATAAATGATGCAAAAAGAAAAAAAATTAGGCTTATCCTAAGAGTTTTATAAGGTTTTTCTATGTATCATGTCTCTTCATTTTTATTTAGCCCTAAGATTTTTTTTTTATATAATTATTAACAAATTACACATCAAACCATAAATTTTAAGTCTATTTGATTGATTTTAAAACGGTTTAGAGGTAAAATTCTCTTTCTTTATCAAATATTAATATTTCATGCAAACCAGATCATTGCATAGTCACACTGCAGATCTGTGAAACTGGTTAACTTACACTAAATAAATATTCTTAGACTCCAGTTGCATTTTCAACATCCTTCCCATGTGGGGCGGGGGATGCGATCAGACGAATGGTGTGTAGTCGACTGACAAAATAGAAAAACTATGTGGCACGTTTCGTCCTTAAAAATGACTTCCTCAAGTTAAAAAGACTAAATAACTTGGAAAGTAAAGTGGTAGGGAGTTTGCTTTAATGGTGTGGTTTAAATAAATAAAATATTGAGCAATATTTTGGTTAGAATTTCTGCTGAAAACTGCTAAAAAAATATTCTGACATTAAAAAAATTAAGTTTTTTCAGTGTATTTAAATTGCAAGAGATTGTGAAATTATAAGCAAAAAATAAGCAAAATTTTTCAAAACAAAATCTCTAAAAATATAAAATTCAATCACTCTGGTGGACTAATTTTCTTGATAAATTTCATAAAATACAAATTGCGGACTATAAGGAGAAAAACTAAAAAGTAAATAACTCAAATTTTAAAAATTAATGTTTTTAAAATTTTCATTAACTCAAAATTGATTCAAATAAGTTATTCCCTGAAAAATGTTTCCAATTAAATTTTAATTTCATAAAATAGTCAACAAAAATGTAGACTAAAATTTAAAAATATAACAGAACTGGTATTATTGATAAAAAAAAAAAAAATTGTTTCAAAAAAAGTTCCATAAATTAAATATATTCAATATATTGAATTTAAAAAAAATTTTTTAATCGACTATTTATTTTTATTTACAATATTCGGTGTTTTTCCTACCAAAACAGAACGAAATAATAACAAGAGACGTTATTTTAAAAAGTACAATTAATTAAACTAAAAAGTGAATTTCAATTCAAAAATTTATGAACTAGAAGAGTAAGACTATATGTAAGCAAATTTCATAGAAGGAGAATAAAACTGACCACCTGTTGTTAATAAATCGGCTTTTTAAAATAAAGATATATTGTGGGGGGGACAAAAAGGAAGTCTTTTGTTGAGTTGGATGATCGTTTTTTTTTTTTGTTTTAGTTTTACTTTGTGTTGGTGATTATAAAAATAAAAAACAAAGGAGAATTATTCACTAAACGACGAGTGGTTGAAGGTATTTTACAAAAAATATATTAAGAGGAAATGTCGGCTTCGGGGATAAATAAATTCCTATTTTATTAATCGAAAGAAAGAAGACCGATATGAGAATAATAAAGGAAAGCACATGTCAGTTTTTACTTTTTAGTTTGTAGAAAGAAAAAAACCCAACCAAAGCGAATCTCATCCCTAAATCGCGCCAACATTCAAAAGCAAAACTGAAACGGCGACTTGCGGGACAAAGTAAAGCGTTGAAAAAAGAAATAAATAAAAAAAAAAAAAAAGGTAACTATTTTTTTTTCTGTTTTCTTTTTACCTGAAGGGATGTAATCAACATCACTCGCACTGCTCGACTCTTCGTCAGACATCTTATTAACTTGTGTTGTGCCGAAACCTCAATAACACACACACACACACACCAAAAAATCCGGTCAGACTCGTGATGGGTGACAACTTCCGGTTTGGAGGAGTTATCTCCCCTTTGGAAACCTAACTTCATAAATAATTCTTATTTTAAAAATCAAAGTACTATTGAGCTTTCATTAATTTCTACAACGGTTCATTCCGAATTCTAGCTTTGTTTTATTTTATTTTATTTTTAAACATAAGCCTCTCCTTGCTTTATGTAAGGGAAAGCTTGTCTTGTATAATAAAAAATGCTATGATATACAAGACTAGACAATAACTCATTTCACCTTAGGCCACGACACTTCTCAAAATAAAATAAATAATGATTATCGATTTAGAAGACTGATTGATTATCGGTCTAGAAGAGGGATCCTATCGATACAGTGTCAGTTCGATCCCTGACTTTTACAAGTCATTCAAGTGACTTACCTGTTATTTAGAAATGCCAAGTTTGAAATTGTGCTGAAAAATCGATGATCTATTGACTATTCTATATATTCTTCAGTCTTTTTGCATTTAATTAAAAAATTACAGAGATGTTCATATTTGAGTTTTCATAAAATTAAGTAAGAGGCGGGGTTGTAATAAATGTAAAAAAAAATATTATTTAACCATGACTTTCTAAAAGTCAAACATTTCTAAAATAATTTCATTCATTTTTTAATAAATTCTGTAAGTTTCATTAAAATCCGGCAATTATTTGATTTTTGCAAGAATTTCTAAATTAATGTGCTTTTCAACTGACAAAAGCGCTAAAAAAAAAACTAATGCAACGCGACCGCTGACGTAAAAAAGAACAAGATTTTCAGCCAAAATTTCAAACGTACTAGAAAGGAATAAAAAATTTAAAAAATAATTAAAAAAATACTTTGGTCTTTCCTCTTAGTAATAATATAAACTTTTTCACGATAAAACTTTTTTTTTTTAATTTATTTTAAACCTTTTCTTGTATGAGATTTTTCGTAAAAACATGCACAAACCCTTGAAGTTCATCTGGACAAATCAAAAATATTGTTTGAACCTTTTATTTTAGTTTTAAGTTCAAGCTAATAGATTAAATTTAATATTTTCAATAAGCAAAATACTTTGATGTATTTCAAAAACTAAATTTGACTGTAAAGAGGATTTTTTGTTGCTAAAATATCTGATTAGCGCCCTTTTTAGCCGTCTTTCATCGCAGGGTAATTCTTTATTAGAATATTACAAAAATAAGATATACATTTCTGCAATTTTATTTGAGGAATATTAGATTATTTAAAGTATGATTAATATGATTTTAAACAAATTTTATTTACTTTAAGTATAAAATATCGCAGAAATGCATTTTTAACTCAGTGGTAGCTCTTTATTTAAGCTGTTGACGTGTTTGACAGCTTGATGACAAATTCGTGTTTCAGTTTATTGTTCTATAGTGGCTTTGGCCGTAAAAATAGTTGAGCGCCTTTTATATAATTTTTAAGTACTCAGTAATCTTTAAAATTTAAGAAAATATTCTCTGTAATCTAATGTTTTATTGAATTTTAGATACGTTTGAGCTTTAAATTTGCTATAGTTATCGCTCTTATTTTCTAACAAGCAGCATGGCTCGGCGTTGCCCGTGCTTGATTCAAAAATCGTTCGACTCATACAGCAATCGCTATCACTTGACTTAAAATATTTTTGCTCTTCCTTGCCTTTAAAGGAGTGCCCTTTGCCGTGCTGATGTTGCTACATGCCTTACTTCTTGCCTATCTCACACTGCGAATATTTTCTAAGCTCTATACTAAACATAAAATCTGTTACGAAAAAAGAACTAAACAAAATGAACTAAACGATCAGCTTTAAAAAAAGGACTCGTAACTGGAAAAACCGAATGAAAAAAAAAATGTTAACAAATACTTTTTCACACACAACCCAGTTCTGCGGAATCAGAATCAACGTTGAGTTTAAGCAAGCGAATGAGCCAATTGGAGTAAAGTGCCATGCAGAGTTAAATTTTTCCCACTTGTGACGAATGCAGCTATCGATTTTTTTTGTATACTAGCATGCTAGTTAACATTCGTGTCAATCAGCTGTTGGCTCTCACGCTGGCCAATAGAATCTTCCTGCCTATTCGTAGCAGCCAGCTATAGGCTCTCACACTGGCCAGTAGAAAATGGCCGCAAACTACATGAAAACTGCCGTAGAAACATGAAAAAATCGATTATTTCCACTATCGACGGGAGTTGGGAAATGCAAAGTCGGTCTTGGCCTTCCCGCTAACTTGGAACAGGTGCATATAAATTTTGGTGCAAATCCGTCGAAAATTGCGGCCGTGCATTCGTTACACACAGACAGACAGTCACACACACACACACGCACGCACACACATCCTGCCTTTTATAGATAGAGATAATGTCGTGTATGAACTTTCGTATCTACAAAAATCGGAATGTTTATACACATACACATACAAAAAGATTCAAAATTCTTAAGAAAATATTAGTGTCTGATGATTTATATTAAGCGCTTCATTTCATGATTACTAAATATAGTTTTTAATTGATAATAATATCAGCTGAAAGGACAAAATTAATACAGAATTTTAAAAGATTTAAAACTTAATGAATTATTCTAATTAAAATTGAGATAAGTGAAAACAATTCTTGTAAAAATTCATTATTCATCGAATTCTTTTTCAAAAACAATAGTGTCTTTAATATATCTTATTTATCAAAGTAATTAAAACCTTTTTTAATTAAATAATGTCCTAGTTTTGTTGCATTTTTATTTTACGATTCAGAGCAGATTTTCGGTAAATGGCGTTTCTGTTTTACAAAACAAAATTGATGTTTAATTTTTCTAAGGAGTCATGCTTTTTTTAATTAATATAAATATGAATGGGGTGGAATTTTCATTTCTCGAAATTTCATAAAATCAAATAAGTGTGAGTAACAGATGTAAAAAATATTTTTACCATGATTTTCTTTAAAATTTTTTTGAATAATTTTATTCATTTGTGAATAAGTCCTGAAAATTTCATTAAAATCCAATATATTGTATTTTTGCAAGAATTTCCAAAACGTGTTTTTTACGACAAAAAGACTGTAAAATTTCCATTACTAATCTTTGAAGAAAAACAAGTTTTTTAAACAAAATTTCAAGCTAGTTAGGAAGAAGGATTAAAGATTTTAATTAATAAAATAATAAAAAATTCTTTGGTCTTTCCTCTTAATAATAACAAAGATATTGAAGAGAAAACTTTGTTTCTATTTTAAGCTTGTGGCATTTTTTCATCAGAATCTGCGTTTTTTTTTTTGTTTTTTTTTCAGCGAATCAGTGGAGGGAGGTACCTACATTAATGTTCGTCACAAGAGTTTTTTTTTATTAGATGAAGACATATTTGAAGATTTTAAATAAATCTAGTGTCATTTTCGAGTGGGAACTTTTTTGCCCATCTTCACCGTTCAGTGAAATAAATCCGGACAAGTTGAGTCCAAAATATAATTAAAAAATAATATAATTTTAAATTCATTACCTATTTCAAGATGGATGATTACAAGGAGTTAAGGTCCTTATTGATTGTTTTGTCTATTTTTGACTCTGCAGTACGACAATTAGTTGTCAGTTTGCTTCTACCGTACGGATTACTTGCTAGCATTGCTGAGGAGTCCAAGTGCCGATATTTTATAACCAACCAGGGGTGAACCACCACCCCTGGACTAATAAACCTGTCCAAAATAATTAGGTTTTTCCTAAATATATAAATATCAATAAATAAAATATTATGATAAAAATTATAATTCACAACACCTTCAAAATTTACTTTGCTACCCAGTCCCCAAACCTGGATGGCGACTTCCAAATTCGGGCCGACCGCCGAACCTCAGGCATCTCAGTAGCAATTGGCATTTCAGTGTTCCCTGGAGAAATCATTGCATCATTTGCTGGAGAGTCAGCCGACACTCCAGACGCTTCAAGGGTTTCTGGAACCTCAGGCAGTTCAGGTATTTCTACCACTGGTACATCGAGCACGACTGTCACCTCGATCTTGGGATGCAGTCTCACTAGTTGATCCACATGTCGCCTCACCAAGACCCCATCTACTCCCACTACATAATTTACAGACCCCAGTTGTCGGTTAATGATTCCCTCCATCCATTGCTCCACTGCCCCCGAGTTCTGAAATTCCGCACCAGTACGCGATCATCTACCTTGAATTGACCCAGGGGACTCATCACCTTTGTTCCCTGTTCCATATTAGCCTGATAACCCTGAATTCGACGATATTTATCGGTCTTCAGTTAATGAAAAACAGTTCGTAACTGACGTTTAGTCATCAACTCAGCAGGAAAACTTCCTGTTGCTGTATAAGGAGTAGTACTAAAAAAGAATAGGAATCGGTATACTTGGATTTTGAGAGTTGATTCCCCATCCGTCCTTAACTTCTTCAGTGCCTCTTTGAATGTGCGCACCGTACGCTCAGCCTGACCATCGGAGGAAGGATGATAAGGAGCAGTGAACATTTGTCGGATATATAGAATTAAAATCCTGTATTGTTCATAAAAATCCATTAAAACAGGCTCCAGACGAAATTATGCAAAGACGCTTTCTGATTGGCTGGAAAATATATAATATATATACTACATGTTTTCAACTACGTCCGAATTGTATCGACCTAGTTTTTGACCCGAACGAAAACACTATTGCGCCAAAGCAATTTGGAGTCTACCACGTGACCCAAGTTAGCAATAAGTATGAAACGTCATTCATCCTCGACAGTGAACCGAACAGAATCTTTTAACTCGTCACACGAATTCTGTGTCACACAATTCCAGGATTTACGTTAAAGATTCTTTAAAATAATTTCAACCTGAAATAACACTCACTCACACAGCAATATTTTATCAAGAACAAATGACTCAAGTTTTCCACATTCAAATTGATACACGAATCTTTGTCATACATTTTCAAGCACGACGTTAATTATTGCAATTAACAT